AGATAGCTGTATTATTTTTAATTATTTTACATTTCTGTTTTTTAAATAAGTTTAATTTGGATTATTTTATCATTTTTGTAACCTTTTTGTTAAAAAAACGCACTATTAGTCATTTAATATTTTGTTGATTCGCCTTTAGCTTTATAAAGAGCTATAGCTCGTTTTTGACAACTTTCAGCCAATCTCATTGTCATATTCGTAGTTATTTCTGCCCAAGATGGTCTTTATTCTCTCTATTACCATAAATAACCACTTATCATTTTAAAAATAGTGATTTTTTAAACTTTTTTGTTAAAAAAGACTCACCACTTGACTAAAATTGGTTTTCCGCTTTTTAAAAATATAAATTAGAGCTTATCAAGACAACCATAGTTAAGCAACTTGATACTGTGACTCGAGGTCAAGTAATTCAAACTCTTAAGCTTGGTCATTCGACAAGGGATGTGGCCAAAATGTTTGGCATTTGCCACTCTACAGTAGTTCGTACCAAGCAAAAGTATGATAAATACCATACTTTTAAATCATATCGATAGAAACGGCAGACCGAATGTTTCTTCTCCACATGTTTTAAACGTGATAAAACAGGAAATTAGAGAAAATCCTAAAAAATCACTAAGAAAACATTAATCAGTTGTCTCTACAGAAACAGGATCCTCTATATCTTACGTTTCTGTTGAGAATATACTGAATAGCATGGATATGTTTGACTATCGTCCCATTTAGAAACCACTTTTAAGCTTTAAAAATATCAAGCTCTGATTTGAATCGGCCCAGAAGTGGTTATTTATGAGAATAGAGAGAATAAAGACCATCATATTCAGTGATGAGGTCGAAATTCAACTTTTTTTGCTCAGATGGCAAGTCCTTTTTGTGGAGACATCCTGGAGCAGGACTTCTGTCTCGACATATTAACAAAACTGTCAAATATAGAAGTGGAAGCGTAATGGTGTGGGGATGTTTTTCATATTATGGAGTTGGAAAGTTGGTGTTTATAGAGCATTAAATGGATGTTATTCAATAGTTACGCATCCTTTCCAATAACCTCTTTGAATCTGCTGTATAAATGGGTTTGAATCAGTTCATTTTCCAAGACAACGACCCAAAACACACATCAAAGCTGGCATCAGAGTTTTCTAGAGAAAGAAATGTGGAATTATTGCCTTGGCCTGCTCAATCACCATACATGAACGCAATTGAGAACTTATGGGGGATTATAAAGTCTAAAATAGGCATATTAAAGCCTAAAAATATCAACGAACTTAAAGATGCAATTAAGACTTCTTGGGCAGAAATAATCACGTATATGACAATAAGATTGGCTAAAAGTTTCAAAAACGAGCTATTACTCTTTATAAAGCCAAATGTGAATCAACAAAATAGTAAATGAATAGTGGTGCGTTTTTTAACAAAAAGTTTAAAAATGATAAAATAGTCCAAATAAAACTTATTTAAAAATATAAATGTAAAATAGAAAAAAGCCAGTTAGTCTTCTTGACTTAGTGTTAACTTGAGGTTTTTACAAAAATGAGCCTCAGATCTGACGATGTTCGTCGCATGACGGACGAAGGTTCAGCCCTTGTTCCCCAAAAACGTTGGAGGATGTCTCGTGGACGGCATCAACATGAACTTCGTGTTAAGTCCAAACGGCCGAAGTACAACGAGAATCAACTGATGTCTTCTAGTAAGATCGACCTATCAGTCCCTTCATCATGTATCCAACTGTATCCTATAGGAATGGAAAGTCTTCACTTCATTACATAAATTTAACAAGATATCCATTGATGCTATACCACGAGAGTTGGTGCAAAAGAAGTCGAAAAGTGAGTGTTAAAATTGTATGGTAGAGCGAAGTGGTACAAGTGCGAATGGACAAAATGTAACTATGCATCAATTGAAGTTAGTGAAGAGAAAAGGTGTGATGTCATGCCCATTGTCTGTCTATCAATGGCATTCTTAATCATACTCAATTTACCTCGTGCTCTAACGACCACCAGGCGAATCCGGCGTAACGAAATTGTGCTTGAGTCAACCGAGCATTTAGCCATCCTTGCGAAAGAGATGTCGTTACTCCCATCTCCGCCCGTCCCTCTGGCTCCAGTTTTGCCTCCTCTTCTGATTTCCCTACGCTCGATTCTTCCTCGACTTTCTGCTCCTCTCTCTCAGACAACTTTGCTGTCCCTCCTGTCACAGTCTTCGCGACATTCATCCACTCCGGCTCCACCGGTTGGCCAACTTTAGCTGACGACGGTCGTCTGACTCGGCGCATCTCTTCGATCTGAGTTACAACCGTCATGTCTGGAGGTGGGAGCGCAGCGAGTTGCCGGAGTCGCTGGGCTATCAACACCAACTGGACAGGTGAGGGTAGTCCAGGCCAAGGAAGACTGGCGGCGAGCAGAAACCGGCGCCAATTTATCAAACGAACGGTGGAGAAGGAGACTGAGTTGGAGGAGGCATCGGAGAGAGCAGCGAAGGATGGTGAATCAGTAGAAATGTACGGTATTTGTGTGTCGTGTGGTGAAACGGATTGTTGTCCTGGAGCGGCATATTTGGTGGTAGCAGGCGCTCCGCGAGGAGGAGAACCATGGCCTGGGGTTGAAGAGTCGCCGACGGAGCCAGACGGTTTCAGTCGGTTGGATGGAGAGGATCGTTGACTGCGAGACTGACGTACACCTGAGCATGAGTGGGCAGATGGTCGGTCGAACGAGAAATGCTCGGATAGGGATTCTTGTAAGATTAAACAAGAGCATCAAATAGAAGTGGGTTGACCTCGTTGTCACAACTTGGTCTTGTTGTCAAGGCGACTATGTAGAACTCACATAGTCCATAGTAGTTGTCATGATTCCCAGCATCTGACAGCGGACTTGGTACATTCTCAAACGTTTCGCCGGAATCGTAGTCGGCATCATCAGTCAGTTTTGCCATTCGCCGCACCAAGCCACGAACTCGTCAAAGAGACAAGTGAAGTCAATGCCTTGACAAACGTTCTAGTTACACTTGCACTCCTCTTCTTGTCCTGGTCTATCTATCTACTCTTTACCCTCTTATCAACTCTCGTCTTATCATTTGTTTACATTCCACTCATCAAAATGTGTGCCCTTTTGTGGCAAATCTAATGTGGTTTCAACACACCTGCTATTCACACCGACCCCGTCTCTTTCGATCGGCTGATCCCACTCGGGCCTTCAATCCGGATCCCCTCATTGTTTGGTAGATCCGTTCCTTATCTTTCTGGTTGACTGATTTCACTCGATTCCAGTCCCAATGTGCATTTCACTGGCCCGTATGTTTCTTTGTATTACTCGGCTGGTGGCGAAACGTTTGAGGATGTACCAAGTCCACTCTCTGATGCTGGGAATCATGACAACTGATATGGCAGACGACTTCGGACTAGGTGCGTTCTACTAAGTCGCCCTGGCAACAAGACCAAGTTGCGATAACGAGGTCAATCCACTTCTATAAATCGAAAGAAGACTGCGACCATACCAGAGGTCGCACCATCTTGGTCTTCATATCTTCGATAAAACTGCGATAGTAAAATTGCCAGACGATGCACTGAATACAGTCGGACAAAAAAGACAATTTCCCGTCAATCTTCCCATCGGACTTTTTTAAAATGTTATAAACGTTATGGTATCACTACTAAATTATGCGACCTTAAGATACCTTGCCACTCGAATAGGGTTAATTACTATTTCCACTAGGCTTCTATTCAGGAACTAATTGAGACTTTTGTTACAGAGAGGAATAAGCAATTTAAGATTATAGATAT